AATTACACTGTATCTGGTATACAGCTTAGAAGTAATCCACCCTGTAATTGTTGCAAATACGTAAGACTCACAGAACACCTTTAGCAGCAATACTTTCCTGAGCATTATTAGCCTCACAGTGGGACCTAATGCTCGAGAATCAACTGGGGCCACTTAATTACATAGTTCAATCATTAACACTGAAATTACAGTGAGTGTTGCCCCTGCTTGACGCAAGGGTTTTATTTTCAAATAGCTACACATTCTCTGATAATAATTATACCTTGTACTTAAATAGCAATAAAATTGCTCCCTACCTTTTTTAAAGAGTGGCGCTCTTTGGAGGTGGTGTAGGTATACATCTCCACACACCAAAGCAACCTGGCGGCTTTGTGCCATTCTGGCAATGCAAATCAGCTGTAAACCCCACTTAACCAGCCAGTGAAACTGTCCCCTAATGTTCTTTTTTGCTACATAGATATGCCAATTGTGGTTTCCAAGTCCCAGTCCTATTAATATCCACGTACAATCCAGCTTTATGGCTTACAAGGGCAGAGCCAGGAGACCACCACTGTGATATTCAGTTGAAGGATAAATTGAGAAGAAATGGAAACATTTAATTACTTCTATAACATGGAAGAACACATGGAAAAAACTTGGAAGTCAAATTCTCTCCTGTCATGCACATCAGTGCAGGCATGTGAGTGGGCGTGAGATGCTCCGCAACTCTGCGTACGTGGTTAGAAATGGAGCAATATGCCAAGGGAGACATACACTATGCCAGTCATGTTGGATGGAATCCAGGGAGCTACTTGGTTGCTTAAACCCCACCGTGGTCCACACAACTCCACGGACCCCTGTAAGCACCTCTCAGGAGAGAGCTCTAACCACTGGACTAGAGAGTCATTCTGTGTCTGGCCCAATCACCCTGTCTTGATTTATCCACAGTGGAACAGCTTCCACAGGAGAGACCGAGAGAGACCCCCACATCAGACTGTCCTGTAGCTCAGTGGTTAGAGCACGTTCCTGAGAGGTGGGAGACCCCGTTCAAATCCTTTCTCCCCTGTCTGCCAGGAAGGGGGAATCTGAGCCTGGTTTGCTCACCTCCCAGGTGAGCGCTCAAACCAGTGGGCTAAAAGTTATTAAGTTGGCAGTGGCACCACCACCTTCTCCTCCAGCCATTTTGTGCAGTGGGGCAGGCACCTAATTCATTCCCGCTAGAAATTAGGTACCGAAGACAGGATCCTGGGTTCCTGTTTGTGGATTGCTAGCAGAGCTAGGCACTTCCCTGCATCCTGGACTGAGGCCCCTATCACTGAGAAAGGGCAGGGCTTGGCATACTGGGGTCTCCCACTGGCTAGCTTAGACAGGGAGCTGCCTAGTGTGCTGGCTTTGTGGATCCCATTCTTAGGTGCCCATCTCTTCCCATTCATTGTACAGGGAGCCTAGATGCCTAACTCAGGTTTTGTGTATTTCAGTGTTGTTCCTGTGATAGTTTAGCTGCCTAAACGTTAGGTGTTGTGATGCTGAGTGGTGCAATGCCAAAGTCCCTTCCTGGATTCCACCCATTGTTAATCTAGTTTTTAGATGAATAATACTATTTAACCTCCTTGAATGTTATATAATGGCTTTACTTATGTCCAACCTAATCTTATTTTTATCAGTTCATATCCTGCAATCAGTAATTCCCTAGCCACCCTGTTGAAGTTGACCGTAACTATTATGTGTAAGAAGTCAGTGGGGCTGAGGGCAGAATTTGTCCAAATTAGTTTTCCTGCTGACTGTAGAGACTACAAAAGGTTAATACAAAGATGAGCAATATTATTTTTAGAGTCTGGAACTCTTTGAGAAGGATAATTGGAGATTTTTTTATTTGGAATATGTTAAGATCAGGATGCTTGAATTTGTAAAGCTACCAACAGGCTGCAGCCAAGCGTCTGTAAAAAATTACACCAAATTTTGTAGCTGTTCTGTGCAAGTGATTAAATACAGGCCACTGTTCATGCTCATAGAATCTCATTGTTCACTACTTGTCAAGACTCTAGCAGCCAGGGGACTAATTACCAATGGGATTCCAACTGCTACTGATGGGGTGGGAAAAAAGAAGCCTGCACAAAGAAAGATCTTGCTTTTTGCTCTAAAAATTGTCAGGCTCAGATGGATTTCTATTGGGAATTATTTCATTTCCATTGAATGCAAGTACTGTTGTAGGACGGATGAGTCAGTGCATAGGGTGGTGAACTGGGCCTCAGAAAACATGGGTTCCATTTCCAGCTGTGCCACAAAATTCTTGTGGGACCTTGGGTACGTCATGCAATCTTCCCTATGTCTCAATGCCCATTGGTAAAACTGGGGGATACTTCCTCACAGGGGTGAGGAGGATAAGAATACATGAATGATGGGAGTTGCTCAGGGACTGTAGTGGTTAGGGCCCAAAGAGGCCTATTTCTGAGGTATCACCACCTGTAGTAGTGAGTCAACATGCCCTTTCCCCCTGGGAAATAGCAGAAAAGAGAGGGTTTATTAAACCAGAATCAACTAGTTCTTCCCACTGTTCTCAGGGATAAGGTTCCCAAGGTCCTCCTATATGCAGTTAATCTCTCACATAAGCTTTTTTAGACTTATTTTTCCTTGCCCAGGTTTCTCTTCCAAGCTAGTATCACCTTCAGTACCAACACCCTTTCTAGAACTAACTGTGATGTAAGAGAGTATGCCTTTTATAGGGCCTCAGACTCCTCCCCTTCCCAGTATGCTTTGTTAAGAGGAGCTTGACAAGCAGGCTTTTCTTTCCCTTGGTCTTTCAATAGGACACGCCTGTTTGGCAGCGTAATCTGACCATTTTCTAGGTAAGAACAAACCTCTCAGGATTTATTTCTGGGTCTTTTTTTCCTGAAACCACTGTGCTCTGGTGTGGAAAACTGGGGAGAAAGGGAAGCCCTGACCTGACCCACCTTTCTCGCAGGACTTTAGCTTTGGGATCCAAACAAACCAAACAGAAGAATACAGGCAGTTTATTTGAAAAAATTATCTTTTTTTTCCTCTGAGGCCCCTTCCCAGCGACTCTGTCACACAAGAATTAGAACAGCGGTGAATTGGTAGCCAGAGGAGGGCATGGGACACGGGAGTACTATGGTCTCATTGGACTGCCCTACCTAAAAGTGAGATGATGCAGGCTTCATTAGATGAAACTGCTGGCCGGCCTTCTAGAGTAATCCCGTGTAGCATGTGTTACAGTATTCTAGCCTTGCGAAAACAAAGGTATGTATAGGCACTATGATACCATGGTGATGATGAGCATTGTCTATAAACTTAAATACTATGATCGAATACACATTATGAAGCCCACACTGAAAGGAAAGGCTGCAATCACTTGGCTAGTTAGAGATGAAAGCAAGTATTATCTGGAAATTTAGGCGCACACGTGAGTCCTATTAGACCTCCAGGTTTGTGAGCTAACTAGACAACAAGCAGCCATATTCCCTCTACTGAGGTGCAGTGTAACGTTTTTCATTTCCTCAATGTTTATTCCTCCCACCAAGCACCAGGACTGTGAGCTGGCAAGCTGTCGTAGAGGTTCCAGTCTTTGATAGATGTTGGGTAAAAGACCTCTGGAGGTATCACTGGCATACTGATGATACTGTACCCAGTAGTGGCTCTGGCTCGCAATCCCCTCCAAAGGCGTTAGAGGGGGGCAGCCTTGGAATTTGACTACTCTGTTGATCAAGTCATATTCAGTGCGTGATTCATTTAAGGATTTTTTTCTGTCAATTCCCTAAACAAGTTACTCGTGAATAAATGCTTTCATTATTTGACTCGCCGCACTCTAGCTGTTAAACAAGAAGGACAACAATAGCAAATGCCCAAGGGAGCCAACAATTAGAGGGCTGTCTGTCAGAAGCCTCTGGGGTCTCCCTGAAAGGAAGAGACGAGGCCATTTGAAGCTTCAGGTTCTGCTGCTACAAGCTTATACATACACAAACCACGACCCCAATCCTGCAAAGACTGAAGTGCATGAACGATGTCAGACATATGAGAAGTCCCACTGAAGTCAATGGATCTGTTACATTGAAGTCAATGGAATTGCTCGGGTGCATAATGTAAGTCTTTGCAGAATGAGGGCTATAAAGTGTGCATATTTTTGAAAAGCTTAGTACAGGTCAGGCCAAATTTAGCCTAAAACCTAGGACCAATGGAAATATTTCCATGGTTTCTTAAAGTTCCAATCTTTTTTTTTTTTTTAAATATTCTTACTGTGTTAGCAACCTGAATATTGCAGCACTGTGGTTTGAGCTAGTCAAATATCACCAAACAGTATTCACAAACGCTCTTTGAAATAAACGCCATCCAAGTGAATTTCCTCTGTGTATGAGCTAACATTTGTATCTGTGAATGTTTGTGCATGGTGACATTTGTAGAAAGATAAAGTGCTGCGCTGGTCCTCATGTGAATATGTACATGCTTCTGTAACTAAATGTTGGTCAGCCTATGGTAGCCTACATTAAGTGCTTGGTAACAGCCCATGGTCAGAGAAAAATTAAAAAGAGCCTTTATAACTGTTTTATTGGGAATTAGAATACACTAGACATACAGGTATGGAAAGCAGTTAGTTTTACAAAGCATCTAGGTTAATAACATAAAAATAAATAATTAAAGGCTCTTAACACGACATCAGTTTTTAAGCAAAATTCCTCATTGAAATCAATAAGGAGTTTTGCCTAAAAACTTGATGGTATGATATAGTCCTAAGTAATTCTTAAAAAACTCTTTAGAATAAATGATGCTTGAGAAAGTCAGTGGTCATTAGCTCTTAATCTTGTAGGAGTTAAATGTCACACTGGTGTCTCGTCCTATTTGCAACTTTTTTTTTTTTCATGGAACACGCTTAGAAATATAGCCTTCCTCCGGAGCTGGCCACAGATTTTTGTGTATGTTGTCTCTAATGTCCTCATCCCTCTTCAGAGAAATGGATCAATACGCTTCTTGTGATGTATTCCCAGATGAGATCTCCTCAAGGAAATAAATTACTTTTTCTTCTTTTTCCCTTTCTTTCCTCCCTTCTTTTTCCCTTTATCCTTTCCTTTTCCTTTTCCTTTTCCTACTTCCTCACCTTCCATCAGTGCTCTGGCTCGTGCTTTCCCCAGAGGTGTCTTGGCATACCAAATCTGGAGAATCAAATACGTGGTGAGAGGGGAGGAAAAAAAGCATGAAAGAACATTTAAGTAACTTTTGCATGTATGATGAAGTGTTCCTAACAAAAACCTTACAATTCTGGTTGGCTTGTGGAGAAGCTGAAACAAGATCCGTAGACCTCTTGAGAACACCATTATAACAAGAAGTGTAGCAATCATCTGCTTTCGGAGTCCCTCATTAACATGAACACTTAGCTGTGCCACTTGTGTTGCTATAGTTATGGGAGTGTTAGAACTTCATGATCAACCCTATTTCCAAGGGTATGTAGCTCTTGTCAAAATTACCTCTGATCTGCAACTTGGCAGTATAAAGAGCATATTTTTTGGTAGTTCTCGAAATCTGTTCAGTTGTTTTTAATTTCAGTGGGAAAGTTAAATCATAATTTTTCAAAAGCTGTTTATTGGTTTCATGTGCTTGTTCATAGTCCTGTGTCTTGTAAATGGTTTTGTTTTGGTTGCTTTGCAAATTTGCAAAGCTCTTGGACTGTAATGGCAACCAGACCTCTCTGGGATATGTTAAAATAATTTAAAATGGCTGAATTGGTAATATTTGAAAATCACTTGTGCATAGGAAATAACCTTTTCCCAAACTTGAAGTGTGCGTGTCTGTATTAACAATGTCATGGTCCATTCTGCAGCTCAAGATGCGACTAGATATTGATGTGCATGATGAAAAAGCTATTAACTATGTTCATCTCTTTTGTTATGCCAGGAATGAATTTGGCTTTTTCCCTCTCAGAAGCCTAAGGACCAGTATCCTGATGTCTTGACTTCTGCCTCTCACCTCAGAATCCTACTTAGGTCAACTCCCATCTCTCTCTACTCCTCTCCATCCACACTTACACCTACACTATCTCCATTCACAATGGTGTTCACTCTGTTGGGGCTTGTAGTGTCTTGTGGATTAAATGCCTTAAACAGGTAAACAAAATGCATCAGTAGCAAAATGGCCAACTGGCTGTGGAACAGCTATAATATTGTGATGCACAATCTAACTATTCTGATTTAACTGAATACATATTCTTCAAACCTCTCTATTTTACCCCCTCTGCTAACTCTGCATTATACAAAATCTCACCCAAAACTAGGTGGGTTTGAATAATTAGGCTGTACTTTACTGTACTGGGGGTGAGGGCGGGGCAGAAAGGTCTAGTGATGGTGCACATATATTGTGGGCTAGTACAAACTTTTGAAGGGTTGCACCTTGAAACCGTCGGGCTGTTAGACTTCTCTGAAGAAATTCTGCATGGTGATGGAACTCTTAGGAACAGCTTATTAAGGACTAACTAAACAACGTGGCAGCACGTGGTAAATGTGAGGGAATATTGAGACCTACTCCAACCCGCTCTCCATATTGCTAGCAAAGGCCTTGCCTTATGTGGCAGGGTGGGGTTAATGATTTCCAGTGTCATAGAATCATAGAATATTAGGATTGGCAGAGACCTCAAGAGGTCATCTAGTCCAACCTCCTGCTCAAAGCGGGACCAACACCAACTGCTGTTGGTGTCATCTGTTGTTTCCTTTTCCTTACTTTTGTATATTCAGTTTAATTAAATTATTAACCTATTTACTGGCATGTCCCCATGACAGTTTCTTCACAGATTCTGCAACTAGTGGAACTGCTCCAAGATATTACTGAAGCCAACCGCTTAGCAAGAATCCAAACTAGATTAGATTTTCTCTAATGAATAATAAGATACACAGTTAGGTTTCTGTAAAAAGCAACAGAGGGTCCTGTGGCACCTTTAAGACTAACAGAAGTATCGGGAGCATAAGCTTTCGTGGGTAAGAACCTCACTTCTTCAGATGCAAGTAATGGAAATCTCCAGAGGCAGGTATAAATCAGTATGGAGATAACGAGGTTAGTTCAGTCAGGGAGGGTGAGGTGCTCTGCTAGCAGTTGAGGTGTGAACACCAAGGGAGGAGAAACTGCTTCTGTAGTTGGATAGCCATTCACAGTCTTTGTTTAATCCTGATCTGATGGTGTCAAATTTGCAAAAGGTTTCTGTTTATAAGAGATTTGAACCCTGAAGTTTCAGGGCATAAGCCAACAAATGATTTCCTTGAGTTAAGAAAGAACTTTCCCTGGGGGCATGCTGATCTATAATTATCAGTATAGGTTTTCTTGCACCTTTCTCTGAAGTATCTTGTACTGACTACTGTCCAGGAGAGGATGTTGGATCATTGGTTGATCCAATAAGGTGATCTGTTTGTTTCTACTTAACTATTTTGTATCAAACAGGTGCAGTAACTAGGTCACTTTTTAAATGGGTGTATCTAACTGAATTTAAGAAATCCTATTATCACCATTTCCCATTATTTATATTCATTTTGGGAACAGTGGCAGAACATAACCACATGTCAAATGGGGAGATTCATGTTCAGAGTGAATAGAAATCAAAGATTCATCAGTGTACTAATCCTCACTTTGAATACTGCTTTAAGTTTTAGTCACTTCACTTCAAAAAGGACAAAGCAACACAAAAGGTCCAGCAAAGAGCAATGAAAATGATTAGAGGCTCAGGGGACAGCCGCTTCCATGTGAGGAGAGATTAAAAGACTTGAATTAATTAATGTGAAAAAGAAAGCGAAGAGTGATCTCTGAATGTTACAGTGAAGGCCATTTTGGCAATCAGTTCCTCTGTGCCATGACACAAGAACACTACCTGACATTTAAAGGAAACAGATTTAAAACGGGTAAAAGGAAATACATTTGAAAGAAGGATATAGTTAATGCAAAGAAATCATGGCCACAGGATAGTGAGGGAAATATTTTAGCTAGATTAAAAATTATTTGATTGCTGTCAGCGTACTTTGTGCTGTGCAGTTGTTTATAGGAATAACATCTGCTGTTTCACTAGCTCAGGCCTGGTCTACACGACGAGGTGCAGAGGGATCGATCTAAGTTACGCAACTTCAGCTACGTACTTAGATCTACTCACCGCAATGTCTTCACTGTGGTAAGTTGACAGCTGACGCTTCCTCATCGACTCCGCTTCCGCTTCTCACTCCGGTGGAGTACCGGAGTCGACAGGAGAGTGCTCGGCGGTCGATTTATCGCATCTAGACTAGACCCCCGCTGGATCGATCGCTGCCCGTCGATCCAGCGGGTAATGTAGACAAGCCCTCAGTTAAAAAGTAACAACAAATATCAGGCCTCACATTTCAGGGCATAAGTGGATTGCTTCTTGGAGTTGGGAATGAATTTTTCCTGCTGTGATACAACACTGAAATATTAATCACACCTTGAGGTAAGATACTGGACAGATAGTAAGGGTGAGCAAAAAGACTAAAATGCCAAATAATACAAGTACTGACCATATTCATAGAGCCAAATGTTTCTGAATAGAAATTGGAGACTGTTCAACTGACTGGGGGAATGTGTGCACCAAGCTGAGATTAGACGTTGGAGAGAGATGTCTCATGAGAGCAACCAGCCAACCAGTGGCTGGGTTTAGACTCAAGTGATTGATGATCAGTGATTCAGTCATTTTTGTGTGTCGAAGTTGCTGGCAACTCTATACTGCTTGTTGCTGGAGAAGTAAAGAAAGAAAATCAGAGTGCAGCACTGACAGCTGTTAAAAGTTCCCTCTTCTGGCCTACATAATATTTGATTGTGTGTATGTAGGAGAAATGAGCAGCAGAGAGGGGCACTTACACTCTGCTATTTGTTGCAGTGTAAGGGCCCTGTCCGGAATGGTGCGAGGTACTCTCAACATCCATTGCCTTCACCTTTGCTCCCCTTCCAAGGGGAAGTCATGCCTGACTAACCTAATTGCCTTCTATGATGACATAACTGGCTCTGTGGATGAGGGGAAAGCAGTGGATGTGTTATTCCTTGACTTTAGCAAAGCTTTTGATACGGTCTCCCACAGTATTCTTGCCGCCAAGTTAAAGAAGTATGGGCTGGACGAATGGACTGTAAGGTGGATAGAAAGCTGGCTAGATCGTCGGGCTCAACGGGTAGTGATCAATGGCTCCATGTCTAGTTGGCAGCCGGTTTCAAGCGGAGTGCCCCAAGGGTCGGTCCTGGGGCCGGTTTTGTTTAATATCTTTATTAATGATCTGGAGGATGGTGTGGACTGCACTCTCAGCAAGTTTGCAGATGACACTAAACTAGGAGGCGTGGTAGATACACTAGAGGGTAGGGATCGGATACAGAGGGACCTAGACAAATTAGAGGATTGGGCCAAAAAAAACCTGATGAGGTTCAACAAGGATAAGTGCAGAGTCCTGCACTTAGGACGGAAGAATCCCATGCACTGCTACAGACTAGGGATCGAATGGCTAGGTAGCAGTTCTGCAGAAAAGGACCTAGGGGTCACAGTGGACGAGAAGCTGGATATGAGTCAACAATGTGCTCTTGTTGCCAAGACGGCTAACGGCATTTTGGGCTGTATAAGTAGGGGCATTGCCAGCAGATCGAGGAACGTGATCGTTCCCCTTTATTCGACATTGGTGAGGCCTCATCTGGAATACTGTGTCCAGTTTTGGGCCCCACACTACAAGAAGGATGTGGAAAAACTGGAAAGAGTCCAGCGGAGGGCAACAAAAATGATTAGGGGTCTGGAGCACATGACTTATGAGGAGAGGCTGAGGGAACTGGGATTGTTTAGTCTCCAGAAGAGAAGAATGAGGGGGGATTTGATAGCAGCCTTCAACTACCTGAAGGGGGGTTCCAAAGAGGATGGAGCTCGGCTGTTCTCAGTGGTGGCAGATGACAGAACAAGGAGCAATGGTCTCAAGTTGCAGTGGGGGAGGTCCAGGTTGGATATTAGGAAACACTATTTCACTAGGAGAGTGGTGAAGCACTGGAATGCGTTACCTAGGGAGGTGGTGGAGTCTCCTTCCTTGGAGGTTTTTAAGGCCTGGCTTGACAAAGCCCTGGCTGGGATGATTTAGTTTGGAATTGGTCCTGCTTTGAGCAGGGAGTTGGACTAGATGACCTCTTGAGGTCCCTTCCAACCCTGATATTCTATGATTCTATGTGGTAGGGCTCTTGTACAGCGGAGAGGACAGCATGAGCAATTAGCAGACACAATGGCTCTAACCCAGTGAGACACTCGGCACCAATCCCATTCAGGTGCAGACACGTTCTAAGATGCAGCTTACTACAACTAGTCTGTAGCAGGTCATATTTTGGTTGTAGTTAGAGGACACACCTGTGGGAGGTGAGTGAGAACACTGAAAGGGAGAGTGAAAGGAGCATTGTTTACGTAGATGTTAATTTCACCTTATACGTTTCTTCTTCCTCTTTGTATACTGGGTCCTGCCTGGCCAGGGAACTCAGGAACTCAGCAGCTGTCAGTGGCTTGTTAGTCATCTGCCTGAGGCGTCGTTCACTGAGGACAGTTTGCACTGCATAAACGATGTGTCCCTGGGTGAAACCATCGGAAACCTTTGCTAGGCAACTTATGTTCAATGATTTGGTGACAGCCCCTCCATTCTGTAGGATGATGTGTTTCCATAAGACTGTTCATCACCAACAGGAGAGGGAAGAGAAACCCCAAAACATGTATTAAGGAGTTGGAAAAGCAATCTGAGTGACCTGGCTAATCGCTTTGAACCTAAAGTTCTTTCTGAGAAGGAAAATGAAAACATAGGACATCAGTATAATCAGCAAAACCAAAAGATTTGATTTTATATATATACAGATATTTATATATGCACCCTGTACATATTGGGGAAATACACAATTAAAATAAGCATATTTTGATCTACTCTGTATATATCTGTGTGTGTCTGTATATATGCATTCAGGTAATGTGGCCAGATTTTTAAACCAGGGTGCCTAAAGTTAGACACTTACATCCATAGCATGATTTTAACAGGTGCTTAGCCGGCAGCTTCCACTGCAGTCAATGAGAGGTACAAGGGCTCACTACTCTACTTTAGGTGTTTAAGGCCCGGAGCCTCCAAAGACTTGGGCACAATGTTTAAAATAATACGTGTATGTCTTTGCAGGCGTAGGGCTATGTCTGTAAATACTACGGTGCATTAATCTCATGCCTTTGTCTTTTAGCTTGCAAACTCTGGAGGACAGGGACCGTATTTTTCAGATTTTGAAAGCACCTAGCACTTTGTGGGTGCCACAAAAATATCATAATAAATAAGACAAACATCCTTCACCCTTTGCACGGTAACGCATATATCCCAAAGTCATGCTGATTACAAGCCTTATACCACCATAGATCCCACAGATTCTTAAACATGTCTCCCTAGAAAGTCTTTAAAAAAATATTTTCTTTGTCTGAAAAGTAAAACAAGTGAAAATAGTGACAGACAAATTGCATATAGAGGATTGAAATTGTAGTAGTGTAGTATGGTAGTGCAGTTTGAGCCACATGAGTGATCTGTGTTTGAAGACACAGTACATGGCATAATAATATGCGTGGGGAGAGTTACAATTATGAGACTGTTGCAGCATCTAGTAATGGTCTTTGTGTAAGAGAAAAACTGCTTCACCTTTCCTTCTATTGTAATGTAGATATTATGGACTTTTAATCATAACCACTGACTTCGTTTTTCATTCTAGAAAACAGTGTTCTTCAACTTGATTTATACCTACTCTCAATAACTATTGGCTGAATCACTGATTCATAATAGGGAAATTGATACATGCAGCGGTGAACATTTATTTTGTGTTTCCGTGTGTTGTGCAGCGTAGCTTCCACTGCAGGCGAGGATCATGGATAAGAAGAGAAACTGATGCACATCATGACTAATATCAGATCTCCAGATGTAATGACTGCCATTGTGTGTTTGCTGTACCCCTACGGGGTATAAATGAAAGATCTTGTACTGTAGAAAAGTAGAAGGGCTACAGGCTACATGTGAAAATTGGGCATCTGTAGTTATGAATGTCTGGTGTTTTAAGGCTGTTAGAAATCAGCTACAAAAATTCGATTGGACTCTCAAACTGGGGGACTGGCCATGATAGGTGTTGAGTTCCTCATGCAAGGGAGTCTTGGTGCCAAGCACCCGTAAAAGCACTTTAGAATGTGGCAAGATTTCCTACAGTTTGTCGGTCTGATCTCAAGAATAAACTTACTGTTTGGTGAAAATGAGGGTGATAATTTTAAAGGGGCAGTGTTAAATAATTAAGGCCCAAATTTTATCTACCTTAAAATTTAGACGGTGGTGACTTTTCTTTGCATGCTAAGATTAATGATTTAATCCCTTTTGGTTATAACTCTCCTTTGGATTCTAAATTAATGATGAGTAAAACCCATAAAATGGCGGTTAAGCCCCCAGCGGCTTATCTGAACTATTCAAACTCACTTTCTTCCCTCTCCCTTCTCCACATCCTAGCCATGTCTCACTCCCCTAACTTAAGAAGAGCCTTATCTGTTATCAACTTGTCAGGGCTGCAGCATGCGTGTCCTACTGTTTTTATACAGTCTGGTCCTGTCTAGAGGCCAGTGTTCAATCTGCACTATGGAAATGATGGCATGTGGGACAGAGTTGCAACAGACTAGCCCTTAACACAGTTAAAAAATTGCTGTTTCGTGCACCAAACTGCGGTGAGCAAGCTTCTGAATGGTGGTACAACACTGGGCTTCACAGAGTTGTTGTATGAGTTGGTATTTGGTAAATGTATGATGCAGTCCTGTGTACTTTGTTTGTGGCACAATCATGTTGTAAACGAGTGCCCCAACATGACTAATTGTGGTACAGCTGGGACTTAAGTGGTTTGTTTTAATTCTGTTTTAATTCTGCCTGGGACTTCCACCACAAGTGATAAAATAGTATGAAGAAAGTCTGTTGTCTTAGCAATTGTGAGCAGCTGAGGTGCTTATGTTAACAGCCCCTGGCTCAGATAGGAGGGGATTGGTGGCAGGATATCCTCAGTGAGGAGTCTGATGAAAGATCCTTAGTTTTAGTCCTCTAGTTCACCACAGCACCTCATTCCAGACTTTTTCAGGAGCAAGAAGGGGGACTGATTGGTCTATTAAGTTCCCTGGGGTCTGTAATTCAACCCAAATTGACCTAAATTAACCTAAATAGCCTTTGTGGTTTTGAAAGTCACCAAGTCTGGGCTCTTCTGAACCATGGGGAAGTGATTTCAAAAGATGAAAACACATAATTGAGAATGCTCTGCTACCAGCCCCTTCCCATTCCAATCAGGCAGCTATCCACTTACGTGCCTCAGCTGCTCACAGCTGTGCCAAGATATCAAAGGAAGAGAGGTGATCTTACCAATAGCTAGTGGGACTTAGGAGTGAATGTTGGGGAGCAGATTGCTGTGGAGTTTGGCAAGTCTTTTAAAATGTCTGTTTGATTCTTGTTTGTGGTTTTAAATTGTGTGAGTGCTCACAGAATTGATAGCCACAATGTATGACTATGAATGGGTAAATAACAAGCAACTCCAGGAAATTCACTGTTGAAGATAATACATGGGCTTAAATCTTAATGGTGACTTTTCTGGCATCTGCCAACTTTGCCTTGGAATCTTAAAGTTGATCTATAAACCTAAAAAAAAAGGATTTTTGATAGTGATAACCCAATCTTCCAAAAATGAAACGGTTTATGAATAGGTCCTAAATTATGTTCTTTAAAATGTGGAACCCAGTTAGAAATAACAGCCGGTCAGACTCTACTTCCTGTAAAAAGTTGGGTTAAAATAAAAATGAGCACCCAGATGGGTTCTTGTCATTTATAGAGCCAAAAATAATAGTCCAAGTCCAGATTCAATGTATCTTAAACCTAAATACATAAAATGAAGTACAGCCACCGGAGAACAAAACTTTTTTCTTCATTTTTATGAGACTGATATATTTTAGCTTGTCTTATACCATAATGTTAACTGAAAATCTCAGGTGCCTAGGCGCACACAGTGTATGAGTTCAGATTAAATCATATTTTTGACAATAGCCAGATAAAGGCATCCCTCCTGTGGCATGTTATTGCTTTAGCATGTTTTCATATAAACAGCTGATCTTGATCTGCCATGATGATTTAATATACTTGCCAAATCTTGAAGCATAGTCTGGCCTGGGAATCAGAAGGATTTTTTTGTAAACTCTGCAGAAAGGTCGGAGGTCGGCATCAAAGGGACGTTGGGTAGTCCCCACAACCAGGACTCTGTCCTCTGCTTTCAAACTCTTCAGGATTTTGGGGAGATTCTTTTTCAGACGTTTAGGTTCCATCTTCAGGAGCAGATAGATAGATAGATAGATATATATATATGGGAAAAAAGTGAAATCTTAGCACCCATCCTTTAGAGTTAGGCAGGTGAAATAACTGTCCTAAAATAACACCTTCTGAATGCTCTATATAAAGAAAGCTTTATGGCTCTCTGTTGTCAGAGGTACACTTACATTTACACTTAGTGTAAAGAGAAGAGATACTCAGCATAAGTGGGACTAAGTTAAGCTTTTGCCTCCTGGGTCAAGTCTGGCTATTGAAGGTTGACTCAGCACTTAATTTCTATTATGAATTTGTGACTCTTGACTTCCAGTGTTTCCCTGTTTCATCTGCAGGCACTGACTAACTGAAAGGCAGGAAGGAAGCTAGCTCTTTTATTTTTTTTTTTAAAAATCCGTTAATATCAGCTGGATGATATCAGTGTACTTGGTTAATTTCAATACCAAGAAAACTGCTAGGATTTGTAATGTTTGCTCTGGTATCTTGGAGATCTAGATTTACAAACAAGCAGCTGTGTTTTCAACGAGATAAGTGGGTTCCTCACATTCTGCCATGGTTTTAGCTTAGCAAGGCTCCAAGTTCATAAACTTAAAGACTTGGCTGTGTAAACTTAGTACTTATTTATTTGCAATAGTTTGCAGTCATATTTCATCATAGATATATCACTAATGAGCAGGGCCCTGCAGAGTTTTTATGTTGCTGTGGTCTTACTGTATCTTTAAAATTCATAAACTGATGCATGTAGACACAAAATAATCAGCTCTGTAAAGCAATGGATTGGGGCAAACATTTTAAAAGGGCCTAAGTGATTTGAGAGGCTAAGTTCTATTTTCAAAAGACACTTAGGGCCCACTGTTTAAAGGTATTTAAGCACCCAAAGGGATTTTCAAAAGCACTTTGACCTCAATGGGTGTTATGCACCAATGAGAGTTTGGTGCTTAGATACTTTTGAAAATCACATTAGGTGCCTAAATACCTTTAAAAATCTGGCCTCTAGGCATTGGGAGCCCAAATCTATTGAAAGTCAATGGGTCTTAGGCTCCCAAGTCACTTTTGGGTCTTTTGAACATTTTACTTTGTCTCCTTGTTTTTACTGTATGTCAGGCTGCAACATGGGACATCTTCACTTAGCTCTGGACTCAGCCTTCCATTGTGCAAATATAGAGGAGACTACGTACTCCGAGGTACCTGAGTTTCAAGGATGGACTATATCCTGCCCTGTGAATGCCCTTGCCAGGCAAAGGTTTTCATCTGCTTGTACCAGCAGTTGCTGAAAGGAGGGAAGTGCCTATTCTTTGGATTAAAGAGTACAAAGGAGGAGAAATTAGAAATGAAAGAAAACTCCGAACAATCAAGGGGAAGAGGAAATATCATTTTCCTCTAGTTTAGTTAGATAAAATATATATATTCTCTCTTTTTCTAAGTCATTCTTCAAAGTCACACTGAGAGTCTAAACAACAAGGAGTCCTTGTGGCACCTTAGAGACTAACAAATTTATTTGGGCATAAACTTTCGTGGGCTAAAACCCATTTCATCCGATGCATGGAGTGGAAAATACAGTAGAGAGGTATAAATACACAGCATATAAAAAGATGGGAATTGCCTTACCAAGTGGGGGGTCAGTGCTAATGAGCCAATTCAATTAAGGTGGAAGAGCCTTATCTGTTATCAACTTGTCAGGGCTGCAGCATGCGTGTCCTACTGTTGCTTAATAATATTAGAACTGAAGTGTTAGTGGGCAACACAGTTTAGTGGTCTGAAATAAGGACTTCAAACAACAACCTCCTGAGTTCTTTACCCCAGCTTTGCCACTGATTAGTTAGGTAGCCTTTGGTGAGAGATTTCACTTCTCTGGCCCTGTTCATACTAGTCAGAGTATCACTGAAAGCACTTCTTAAAATAAAAGTTTGTGCTACCAGTGAGGACTGGCTCCACATAGTTGTGTTAAAAAGGGTTTGTAGCCAGTTCACACTAGCTGCACAACTGCCCAATATTTAGGGAGACATTTGGATTTTTACTTGCCTATCTTATAAGGATGTTGGAAGGAGTCCTCAATGTGAGTAAAGTGTTTTGAAAATGAAAACTGTTATTTGAGAGAATTATCATTATTAAATGGCATTAATTAGGCTCCGAAATTAGCACTTCGCTGAAATAAATGATAGAGGTTAAACTATTACTGCTGGTTAGAGTTCCTGGTTTATAGGCCGCTAATACATCCCTTCTACTGGGAAGGGTGTCTTGGCAACAGGAATTGTCAGATAATTAACCAAAAACAACAACAACAACAAATTCTCCTCTGCTCTTTCCCCTAGTCTCTGTGGTAAGTCCTAATTCAGCCATTACATTTTGAGCAATCCATTTTTGGGTCGAGGTAGTAGCTTTCTGTATTTCCATTGATCTAGAGTCAGTTACATGTAGGAATCTTATTTTTAAAATCTAAATGACTGTACTAGTGCCAACCCTCCACCCCCCCAACACTGCCTACATTCGCCGCTCCAGTGTGAAGCCTAGAAAGCCATTTTGGCATTAGTGTGTCTACAGCTCCTGTTGTGTATTGGAAAATAATGTACGTCCATTGTATTGAAGGGATATATACTGAAAGCTAATAATACTCCCATTAACTTTAAAAGAAAAATTTCTGCAGCAAGAAAGGCTGTTGAGCCGGGTACCCCGGCTTTCAGCTGTCTTCCAAATCTGGATTGGAGAATGTGGGGTGTATTGTGAAGGTGCCCCAGGTTCCTGAAGAAAGATAGTGACACTATTGCTTGCACCATTAGCAACTGGGTTACCATGACTGATTGAATACTTGACTGTCTGGCTGTCAATTCTGGGAAGGCAGGAAAGGGCTGACCCTGAAAGGAGGGCAATGGAGGCCAGTTTTATAATGGGCCTTCCACAAAATATAAGGTTTTCTATTATCACAATCTAAGCTATTGTGCCAAAATCATTGCCTGGGGAGGTGCACAATTGGCTCTCATTGACTGTATCCCAAGGCAGAATTTAGCTTACCATCTCCAGCTACCTTTCTGCTACCTGCTTTCCTTGATTCCTCTTTCCCTATGCTGTCATTACTGTTGGGGGTTCTCTTATTGAGGCTTGCTCAGACTGCTTGTTATAGACTCCTGTAGCTGGTTCAGAATGTTGGATACAGCTTGTGCTATTTGTGTAGCAGTGGGATTAGAGACAAGTGAGCTCAGTCCTGGAGCCCATCTATTTCAATCAAGGAAATACGTGAATTTCCACTAAATGTGAACAGATCGGAGTGTAATTTATACAACTGTCCCTAGCATTGCATTTTGGAAGTTATATCAGGGCAAAACTCTGTCCTTAGATGCGCACAGACTGCTGCTAATGAAGCCAGTAGACAAAGGCTATGAACACTCAAGGCAGTATTTGTCCCACAATCTTCTTTACAATAGTAGTTGCAACCAAGATTTGAGAATTAGGGAATTATTTGCTTTCAGTATGGTATGTCAGCCACCAGAGGGCATCAATTACCACATACGCAAGTCATAAAATAAGCACTCTAAACAGCTTGTGAAATGACAGGCTAATCTAAGACAGTTAGTAGGTCATCAGTATCTTAAAAATATTGCATTTGTGTCCTGACAAAAAATACAAGCTACCTTTAAAAAAAAATAAATTAAAAAATGGTTCAGTTTGACATAGAATCGAAAGAATCAATTGTGGCTAAAGTCCTGAAAGCTTTGTGAATTGAATGAGTATTTCACATGTGACCCTGTTTGCAGTTGTACAAGTTGCTTTATATGAAACACAGTGTGTTTCCGCATGGTTTTTTTTTCTTTTCTTTACTAGTGGGAAATTGCTGATTATGGAAAGGAAAGAAAGTAATTAAAACAGGAATTCCAGGAGGTAAATAAAAATCTGTTAACTTAACTGTTTGGCCTATACTCTTGGTTTTTACAGTGCAGATTTGTCCTTGTTCCTTTATTATTGATAAATAAAGCTGAATAATTTAAGCTTGTCTTAAGTCTTAGTTTCTTCCTTTGTCTTTTTTAGGTCTCCCATTTTTCTTTCATTGTTGTTTCTCTTGCTGTGCCATCAGCACTCATGAGCACTGGGCAAATTACTTTTAAATAAGGCCAGTTTAGGTGACTTCTTCAAGAGCTTGTGAGAGGTCATGAGACTTTCTTTAAAAAAGTAAAAGTGAGGCAAGCTATTATAAAGTGAGCATTGGCAGGTCTGGTTGTAGTGGTACACGTTACACTGGGAAAGCCCCGGTTCCTTTGGGTCAGGTCTACTATGGTATGTGAGATTATTATAGGGTTAGAAATCAAACAGGAGCCCCTCACCTCTTTTTCAGACTTTGGCACTTTTTTGTAGAATGTTTTTTCTGCGTCTCCAATCCAGATGACTGAAGGCTGTAGCTGCTTAGCCACCTAGGAGAAATGAGGGGAAATATATTAAGTTAATTAAAATGGTTAAAATTTCAAACCTACCCTGCCTGCGCTTACTATTATAGTGGCTATATCTCACCAAATCAATTCCCTTGGCATTGCACGAGCCTTGGATATTGGTGCACTGTGGTCCCTCCTAGTCTCTGCCTGTGGCACACAGTAGTTTAATCTCCCAAGGGCTGTACTGCTTTTGTCTAATCCAGGGATAACTGGTGGGGTAGAGTGGCCTGTGATGTGCAGGAGGTCAGAAAAGATGATCTCTAGTCCTAGCTGAACTCTGATTCTACATCCACATTTAGGTATCAAAATAGACTGTTTTCTTCCCCCAGAAGTGCTGAGTGCTTGTAGCTGCCATTGGCTTTATTGTTGAGCACTTTTTGGCCAATCGTGCCTCTTTTATTTAGGAATCTAACGTAATGGACTGAGCCATGGCTTGAAAATTTTGGCCAATATGTTTATCTCACATTAATTGCTACAATCGCTTGGCTTAAATTCGATACCAAACTCCTAGTACGTTGTGGTGACGTGCTATCTATTTTATTTGTGCAACAAGAGGCCTGCACTGCAGCGTTACACGATGTATTTAAGCAAAATAGGCTTATGTGAAATGTCAGCATTCACAAGAATCCTAGAATATCAGGGTTGGAAGGGACCTCAGGAGGTCATCTAGTCCAACCCCCTGCTCAAAGCAGGACCAAGCCCCAACTAAATCAATATTGCTCAGGCATGCAGGAGTGAAATCAGGCATCGCACAATTAGCAGCTTAGCTAAGAACTAAGACAATATATTAAGTTTAGGTGCGCATATTAATGTGTTTTCTACATCAAAACTTGGATGTACTATACCTCTGGCTCACAGCAGGATGGCAGCAATGCTACAGGCTTTTTCATAACTGCACTTCCTATTGCTATAGTAACCCTAGTGGTTTAGGAATTCTGCTGCCAAGTATTAATCACATTGCAGTTGTTGCTGTCCTAGCTCTGTTAGATCGCTCCGTGATGGACGTGCTGGCTGTATGAGTAAATTGTAACTAGGATTAGTTTTTCTGCCATGCTCTTGTTCCATTCCACTTCTTCAGGTGAAGCTGTTGCTACTGGAAAGGGGGATGTAAATATTAGAAGCTTGTCTGCATTGTGCTAATGTATGATTAATGACCATTCCAGGAGTTACACTCACTTGGGATGTGGGAGATCCAGGTTCAAGTCCCTGTTCCAAATAGGGTGACCAGACAGCAAATGTGAAAAATCAGGACAGGGGATGGGGGGGTAATAGGAGCCTATATAAGAAAAAGACCCAAAAATCGGGACTGTCACTATAAAATCGGGACATCCAGTCACCCTAGTTCCAAAGTAGGCAGAGGAGGGATTTGAACCAGGGGTTTCTCACATCCCAAGTGATTGCCCTAACAATCAGGCTATCAAGCACAACTCTTTTTCTTTTTTTTTCCGTGTAAAAATGTCTCATTTTCATTCTGCACTGGAACAAAAACAATTTTCAAAACCTTGAAATTTTTGTGTGTGTGATATGGAATTGTTGTTTTTCGGCCAGCCCTAGAAATAAACATTCTTTTGAAAGTACTGTTAGCTTGGGTTTAGGCATTCCAGCTGCACGAAAAAAACAACAACAGTAGAAAGTAGTTGTTAAGTGGATTTCTAAACGTATGCTTGCCCTTTCTCACTGTTGATGGTTCCAAGAGGAAGTGATGCAATTTTAGACATGCAATACTTCAGTGGAAATAATCCATCAATTCTGGAAAATGTCAAGTTTGTTATTTGACTAGAACTGTTTTAATGGAGGAAATGGAAATCTTCACTCATTTTGGAAGGCATGAGCTAAAATGTTGAGTTATAATACTGAAGATTTATTTAAAATAAAGAGACTGGATGATAAATGACTATATGTGAACTCTGCCAAAATTTCATGCGTGCAGATAGGCAGATATCTGCATCTCTATTTACCCATATGTATAATTAGGGAGATGAAGTGTGAAGAGTGATCAAATAGCATATGGAGTAAATAACTTGGATGAATGGCTAAAGGTATAAAATTATACAACAATAAGGCCACATGGTCTTATATTTCATATATTCTGGTTTCTACATTTTCACATTATATTTTGGCCACCCTGAAACTTGTGCACACACTGTCGGGATAAATTTAGAAGGCACTCTTGAAAATGTGGTCTTTATTATTTTGTAGCAGAATGGCAGATTTGGGGATGCAGGGCTCTTCTGCTGAGTCATCTTGTTATCAGACTTGTTTTTGAGACCTACAATGTAACCATTGCTGAGTCAGGCTAACAGGTAGATTCTGTTAGCTCCAATCAGGGTATAAGAGGGGTTGGGTTCTCTTTCTCAGGAGCCGAGGGAATCAAGGCTTGGGACTGAGGTCATGCATTGAAAAACCTTATGTTTGGCCAAGCTTGGGGAAGAAAACTTAGGCTGAAGTCTAAGTTGTTAAGTTACCGAGAAAGCCAAAGCTCCTTAAAGGGTTCATACAGTATATGTATATAATCTCTTCAGAGAAGTGCAGGAACTCTGCTTGCTTGCATATATTGCTTGGGGGGTTAGACTAGATGACCTTTGCGGTCCCTTCTAACCCTATAGTTGTATGATATAGCACCTTTTATCCAGAGATCCCCAAATCCTCAGCAAGCTCTACACAACTAACAAACCTTTTGTCATCTAGCACTTTATGGTCACCTCAGGGATAGCTTGTGTTCCGAAGCACAGAGGAGCTCATGGACTGCTCTTTCCATACACCCTTGAGTATAGAGCCAGGGAGACCACAGTGAATGGGAGTTTGCAGAGGGATTGTGCTTTCCCTGGGGCGGATGGTCACCTCCCTGCCCTCTACTCAGGACTGGGGCTAACTGCTACAATTTAGTCTTCTGTTAATTTAGTCTAATTATAGAATATGCACATACACATCAGCACACCCCACAGATTAGACTTTGTTGCCTGATATACAAGGGTTTTTCCATATTTCTTTCATTTAGGGGTCTGTTCTGCCATTGCTATATTTATGTGACTTCCATTAGTTGTTCAATCACATGCTGCGACGGGTCACTTCTCCCTTAATGCTTACACTAATTGCTAACGTTAATGCGAAGAGGAACTGCATGTGAACACTGAAGGGGGACTAGTCCCTTATGGGTGTTTTCGCTTTCTGAGGTAAATCAGTTGTACTAGGGCTGATAGTCAGTTCAGTCTTTCTGATACCCAGGGAAAGGTTACGGGAAAACATGTTCCATATCTGTTACCTGACATAGTGGATAATGCTCTGCAGTTCGCCATGTGGAGAACAAGGTGTGTGTGTGGGGATTTCCAAAAGCACCAGGCCGTGGTATAACTCTGTTTCCTTTGAAGTCAATAGTGAACTCCCCTTTACATCAATGGGAACAGAATTAGGCTAATGCCGAGTGCTTCTGAACATCCCCCGCTAAACATGGTATGTTGTGTATGGACACACTCACTTAAGTTGTATACAACACCCTGTTCTTTTGAGGGGTATTCTCTGGGATCCCGCTAGAGCCTTTTCCTCTAGCAAAGGCGACTCCCTCCAGATCCCCATCCCCTCAATATTGTTTCAGCAATGGGGTTGTTAGAGAGGTATGAGGCACCTATCTTTCTTCCTCAGGTGGCTCCGATGCTTAATTTGGGACCTGTACCTGTTGCAGCACTTTGCACTGCTAACTAGGCTATGGGCCCACTTTTATTCTAAATAACATTTACCTTTTTCTTCCTTTTGGCACCCCTGTTCCTCTTTTCTTAGCTTCAACAATGGGGAAATATAGCAAACTGAAAACATGGTAGTGAGTGAACCTACTTTCTACCAGCTCTTGAATAAAGCAGATACTTTAATGATCTCTGCTTTCTAATGAACAGCAATGAACTGTGAATGAACAGAGGAGTATAGCATGGAGCAGCAGAATTCCACATATATGCTAATATGACATGATCCAACACACTGCTTTTGTGCTAATAAAAAAAAAATCAGACACCCATAATCCATTGGTATCTAATTTAAATTGTTGGCAGATACAGAGCAGACTGTATGTCCCCCTGAAAGTGCTTTATTTGAATTATCCATGGGTAGTTTGAATCCATGGATAATTAAATGCACTGTACATAATTAATTTATAATTGAAATTTTATTAGCATTGCTGCGTTCAACAATTTGTTGAAGTCACCAGCAGATGGCTCCTTAACCCTTCTAATACTGCATTATTTTAGCAACATTTGATAAAAATTGATCTTCACTGTAGTTTCAGCTATTAATCTGATGTACATTTATGACAAAAATGTTCTTTTGCTGTAACTCTTGCTCCTTCTGTCGATCTCCATTAATCGAAAGTGCATACAATCTGCATGTGCTGATCTGACTTTGTGTTTTTCACGGCAAATTCTCTTGCATGTGTCCAATAAGGACTAGGTTATCCTGCATTTCTGAATTAAAGCAGAACAGAAAGTAACTACTAAGTGGATTTTGTTGGGTATAATGGGTGATAACCACCATGGTTCTGCTGCTCCATGGTTCTGTTGTCAACATTTTGTCTTAGAGCTATTATTTCAGTTACTCTCCAGACTGCTTTGGTTCATGTTTGGAAGGAACGATATAACTGCAACTGTAAGAAACTTATGCTAAAATTTTCAAACTTGGGTGCCTATAAATTAAGCACTTAATGCCACACATGGGCTCCCAAATAAACGGCCTGATTTTCAGAGTTGCTGAGTATGTACAGCTCCTCCGAGCTCAAAGATTCCAGCCTTAATTTAAAATGAAAGAATAAAGTCAAGTTTCTGCAGAAATTGATGGGTCACTGAAAATCGGCTCAGTCCAGCCCCATATATTGACAGCACAAGCCTAGATAAAGCACTTGTGAGATCAAACTGATGAAAATCAGAAATGAATATTTGGTCCCAAATGTGTGAGGTTGACTAGAACAAGTACCAAGTAGAACAAGACGTCAGTAAGAATGT